GCCGCCAAAAAAAACTTTCACACTAGTATCCCCTTTGCGCCAAGTTTCACGCTGAGCATACAAAGCCCATAGATGAACGACAAATTTTTGTTTTTTAGCAATTTTGAAACCAAAACAGGGGAATGACACTTCGAAGAATTTTTCATTGTAAGCAGTGAAAATTTTTGTCCCTCAAGATCAGTAGCCGGGAAAGAGGTTGCGCGTATTTGTTGCACCACTCCAAGGGATACCATATCCGAATCACATCTGCTCCCCCTCAGAATCCCCGAGATTTTTCAAAGCATTACAAGATTTGTACAGACACTGTGCGCCGCAAAATACCGCGTTCCACCCGGCCGGACCGCGAACTGTTGTGACTCCGAACAAGTAGCGGGTGAACTCTTTCGGTTTCCGGTGACTGAAGGGACATTTTTGGATTTTTTGTCGATTTCCCCGAACTGTTTGGAGCGGTATGCTCGTATGTGTTTATTTGCGTAAGCGTGTACATGTCTGTATATTTGGCAAATTCAGTCTGAAAAATGGGTGTGTTGAAGGCAAGTTTTACTATAAGGGCCGACACACTCATAGTGCGGCGTGGATGCCCATTGTTTTAGAATAACCTAATAATAACTGCGTCTATGTTGGCCATGAAGTAAATATGCGCCACAATCTCTGTACACAAAGATTTTGTATTTAAGAGGACTGCCGGTTGGGAAAAATTCCACAGTGTCGTCGATATCCTCAAAGTGTCTAACCGGAAAGGCTGTGCTCACCTCTTCTGCATCACGGTGCTACAAACAGGGAATTACGAATACGAAATGCGGTTACTTGAAAGCTGAAGAGCAAACAGTGGCTGTGAAAAAAAGACAGAGAGAGCTATGGAGCGAAATTTGCTTGAAGTGTCTCTTCGTATTCTTACAGAAAAGGAACAACGACCGATCATTTTTGTGAATGTGTTTTTTGGAGAAAACCTATAATTACTTCCCCCCACTTCGTTACCTCCTTGTTTTCCGCATTTTCAATCCCCGGAGGGATGAGGTGCGAAATACGAAGAAGTGCAGATGTTAGGAGGCATCCTTTCCTCTCCCTCTTCCTTGATTTTTGCTGAAATTTAGTCAGTCGCCAGCATTTGATTTGCTTAGGAAGTTCGAGTTGATGATAGAGTTTGCAGCAAATTTTTAAAGAATTTTACAATTGACAACCGAGATTTCTTATCCTGAACCATACACATCTGGGAGCTATATTTGAAATCTCTAAGTTGTACGTGAGCTGGAAACACCCCCTTAAAATTTCAGCCTTCCAGCTTTTCTGGTTCCCGAGTTAGCGACTTTCCCGCCAAAAAATTTAACGGGGTAGTAC